TGTACAATCATATAGATAATCTAAATTTTAATGCATTCTAATTATTCGAATTCAGACTAAGAATAGATTTGGGTCCTGACTAGAATATATTTAATTTGTCTTGGAAAAGAGAATTAATTATAATAGAATTATTGATTGTCAAGAACGCATGAACCGAACTAGATTATAAATAAAAAATTGAAATAGATAACAATAGGTGGATTCGAGATCCAATACAATCTTCCATAAATTGATAAAGATCACATTTTTATTGCTTTCTTTGATTAATTATATATAAAATAAAATAAAATCAAACTCCATTTTGTTTACATAAAAAGTTAGTAAACTTGAATTAAATTTATTCCTTGTGCGACGGTACTCTCGAGTCATCAATTCTATTACTTGTCAACGATCTTTTACGTTTGCGGGTTTTGCACGAACAAAGACAAATTGGAAATTGGTTCCAAAACAGAAGGGCAAGATAAAATACTTGTATATATTCATTAATTTAAGCCATGCAGACACTTTTTTATGTTTGAACGAGTATTGAATTTAATTTTCTTTTCTGCTTTTCTCCAAGAAAAGTAAATAAATAAACAAAGGCCTAAAACTCAATATTTTTTAAACATTTAAACTCAAATGAAATGTCAATCAACGAAAATACTAACTATGTTTGTATGTGTGTGAGAGAGAGATAGATCAAGTGCAGATGAAGTACCAAAAATTAACAAATTTTTCATAATTTATTTATTTGCGTATTGTTGCTATGCAAATGGTCTGCCGCTTCGAAATGGGGATTGACATGTCTAGATCGAGGGGGTCGAGGGGCAGTGGGGGCTTTCGGCAAGGACCCGAAAGGTGGGGATCAACCTTCCCAGTGAGGTCGCGAGGGCAGCGCCCCTCGTGGAGATTCGGGGGCAACACCCTCGGCCGAGATCCAGCTGCCTAGTCAGATCACAAAGGTCGAGGGGGCAGCGTCCCTCTTGGGGATTCGGGGGCAACACCCCTGGCAGGGATTGACATGCCCAGTCAGGTCACGGGGGTTGAGGGGGCAGCGCCCCTCGTAGGGGCTCGGGGGTAACACGGACAGTGTCTTCTTGCTTCCGAGTAGCGCGGGCACAAATCCATGTCCGTGCATCGCGGAGTTCAACTTCTTTTTTTCCTGACCTCCACACATTAAAACAGCCTATGGTCTTTATTCTTCTTCATTTCTTCCACCGAGCGGCAAACCATTTACATAACAACAATAAACAAATAAATAAATTATGAAAAAAATTGTTAACTTTTGGTACTTCATCTGCATTTGAGCTATCTCTCTCTCACACACACATACACATACAAACACATTTATTGTTTTCGTTATTGACATTTCATTTGGGTTTAAATAAGCTCGAGAGAGTAGACAAGTTTCTGGCTTTCAGTTTGTAGAACATCATTTTCTGCTTATTCAAAATGTCACTTAACAATTTCATAATCTTTCTCCAGTTGCTTAGTTTTACATCTTGCACTTCTGTTTTGCAACCAATTTCCAATTTGTCTTCCATTACAGAGAAGATAAAATCAAATTCTTCAAAATAGAAACGAACCTCCTTGATATTCCTTTTGCAATTTTATGGTTCTTTGAAAATTCTAAATATATGGGTTTATAAACGAGAAGAAAGAATAATGCAATTCAAAGTCTACTACGATGTCGTTTTTATAGCAGATTGGGGGACAATGATTTGGAAACGTATAAAATTCGAGGGCTGGAGGAGTGAAAACTGGGAAAATGAACAATAACATCTCATTGGTTAATATTGCATCTACAGTAACTACAAAGTGGCTTTCTTAATATAGTAGGATATCTATCCAATGTAACTGCTAAGGCTTTAAAAGACGTGATGGAGGCCTTAAGATTGAAGGAATTTGATGTTAANGCTATTAACTTGACAAATTATCACATGCTAAGTAGGATGTGTCTCCTTCTATTTACCTTCTGATCTGGTACCAATCCTTGGATGGTTTGTATGAAATTTAGGGATAATATGTTACATATTTGAAGTCCTAAAGAAGTGATAGACGTGGCTAATGCTTAAAGGTCAAGAAATTTACCATTACAAGGATAAATCAATAGACAGGAGGTGTACTAAGCATGAGGTGGTCTATTGGGTTAAAATCTGATTTTGTACCTATCATTGAACAAATCAAGTATCCTTGACTTATTTTAATGTGTTTACAACATACTTTACTTGCCCTAAGATCTCAAAATATTTTATAGCATTAATTCCTTAACCGTTTATTCATTACCTACCGATTGACACCCAATTCTCGACCAATTTCCACGATTTACACCTCAATGTTTATAACGTCATATAAACCTTATCTTATCGAATTGTGATCATGTTACTTAATGCCTCATGTCCTAAATGTGTCAATCACTTATTTAGGGTTTAAGGTTACCTTGATCAATCGAATGAAGAACTTGCAACTCGATCTGTCGATACTAATTCCACTCTTTTTAATATTCACATTGCTTAGCAACTCAATGTCCAACACCCAGACTAATTTTTTTCCTCTATCATAGCTCAACGTAAAATTCACGACCTAGGTCGAGAAGTAAAGGACTAACACCATTCCAAGGTCTTAAAACCTCAATAATCGAATGCATCATTTTAAGAGAAAGCAATTAAGAAAATTGATGCAAATGACATTATAAATAGCATGGAATGCATAAATCATATTGACCAAATGTGATGTGAAGTTCAGGATATTACACTCATTAATTTAATTTTCGTAATAATCCATATATATTCCAGCAAATCATATTCAATAGATATTAAAGCTAAGCCATTTAATCGTTATTGTAACATGGTAGATCGCAAATAAAATTTTAATAACTTCAATTTTAAAAAACTTCGTTGACATATGCAACAATAATGGGAATTGTCAACAATATTTTATAAGTAATAAATGTATTCAGAAAGAAATTCAGTCTTTTCAAATAAGTCAATATATCAAGAGCCGTCTTTGTTTCTTTTGGTAAGATATTTTGCAAAATTTTTAACGTTTGAAACAAATCTTCATCATCAAGATCGCAAAAAATTACATGTCATAGAATAATGTCAAGATGATCAAAACATGCTTTCAAATTAGCATCATCCAATGAGTTAACTTGTCAGAAAAAAACTAGATATCCAAATTTTTTTCATATGAATTAAATTGATCAAACCTTCGTCCAAGTGATCAAATTGCTTGATCTACTATATAAATGAAATANNNNACTATATAAATGAAATAATTGGTTCTGAAAGAATTTTCAGGTGATTGTGCATACTCTAAAGCAGCATTTTCGTCAAAGTGTTTCTTCCTACGAATTATATATTTCACTTGAAATAAAATATTAATTTTCATTTAAATGGCAGTTTCTATACCAAAATTTTATCGCATCATTGAATCAAGTTTCCCTATATATTTTTTAGAAAGGCAATCAACCCTTTTACTTTCTCAATAGCAATGTCAATAAGCATATCATTAGATTGCATGCATTTACAAATCAAGTTAACAGCGTACAATATATCATACCATATAATCATAGCTACTAAATGCTAAATCACCAGAATTCATCGAAAGTTTTTCCAGCTTATCAAGATGCACATATCAAACTTGAAAAGAATATAATTTGCGATTACCTTGAGGCTTTAATGGGCATTAAAAAGATCCACATGCCAGAAAGCAGTGATAATGAAACAAAATCCCAGATTTTCGGAATCGAGAAAATTATATTTAAGACATGATACTTTTTCCTCTTTCCCTTTTCCCTCACATTATTTAAGGCAGGATACTTTTAAGAAAATTATAACTAGTCAGTCACATTATTCTTAGATTTAGAGGGTGTTTGGTGGATATTAAAATTAGATTTTTAGCGGACTGTGATAGAAGTTTTTGAAATGTATGGTTGCAAAGATGTGGGATCCATGAAAGATGTGGTTAATATTGATTGTTTGACTTTGACTTAGATCAAAATCAGATTTTAATCCGACCCAAACAAGCCCCACCATCGCTTCACCGAAAACCCAACCAAGTATGATTTTGTTTCATTACACAATTTGCATATAAAATGAGCAAAATTTTTGTTTATTTATTTGAAAATCTTGAATCAGCGTATATACTTTAATCCTTAATCAGCGTCCAAATTGATGTGTTTTTGGTGACATAAAGAACAGGTGGATCCCCACCCACTGAAATTATTGAAAATGGTGATCTCTAACACGCCTTCCTTATTCATAACTCTACTATAATATAAGTCCATTGCGTTTTGCCTGCCTATATAGATAGAAGTAGGAAAGGCAGTCTTTAATTCAAGAAAAATGGCAAAATTGCTAGTGTTTTTCGCTCTTGCAACTTGTTTGGAGAAGATATCCGTCAAACCAATGATGCATTTGAATCTGAAAATTAACAAAGTGATACAACTAATTAGATAATTCTCCATACACCCTAATGACAAGATGCAGAACTTCATAATTTTTGCTACTATAATTCTCCATACACCCTAAAAAATAAGCTAAATTAGAATAGACTCTCAAGGGCTGCTAATGGGTTTGCTCCTAGTGAAAGTAGAGGTGAATTTATCACTCACTGCACTATCAATTCTGGAGAGGACTGGAGACTATAACTATGCAGCTTATTATAATGAAATTAGAAATAAATAAATGTAATATGAGAATATGTATTCCCTATGCCCTTTTAGAGGCTGATATCTTAAAATCTATTTGCTTCTTCCACATAGTGAATCAAATTTTATAAAACAAGCTGGCCACATGATCTTTGTCAATTCACATGACTACATATTTCCTATACACTTCATTAAAAAATATATCGGTAAATGTGCACTTTAAGCTAAGAACTTCCAAGACACAGCCCTTGAATTTTAGGAGATGTTGGCGCCTCTTATGCATAAGGAATGACCAAACTCCTTTCATATAGCAACATGAAGAACAACTAATTTTGCATTCCAACCAGTAATTCAATAGAATGCTATTACTTTAGCTTACTATAGATTTCAGCGCTGCAGGGCGAACTTTCGGAGTTTCCAGCTGGTTCCTAACAGTTTTCTGCAATTCCATCTCTAGAGAAGGAAAAAGAGGAGTGCCTGGAGGTGTTAAAAGCCTGATAACATAAGAGAACTTTTATGAGTGCCATTGAATGACTATATTGAGATCAAAGTGAAACTTTACATACAATCAAGAATTCTCAAGAAAATCAGGTCCTAGCCCCATAGACACATCTGACAGCAGTAAATAAACAAAGCCCAAATTATTTCCAAAGTACGTAATTAATATAAGCAATATGTAATGATATGTATAAATAATATGTATTTATCTGAGCTTCAAATCCAAAAATACACACAATACACACAGGAAGGAAAACAAAGCTCCGTCATGGTGGCAAATAACTTCTCTGGCGATCGTGATGAAATGGAAAAATTAACTCTGGAAATCAAGAATTTACGATCCGAAGTTTCTATATTCTTCACGATGCTTAGCATAGATGCTTAACATTACCAATAGATGCTAATGATTCTGAAATATGTACTAGTTGGCAATATTTTGAAACAAGCCTCTTTGGATAGCCAAACAAATAGCAAGCCTCACCCGTTGAACTTTGTAAGGATTGTTCAATCTCCCAGCAAACCATAAGGCTTCCATTGCATGAACAAAGCCGTGCTGCTGTCGTTGCTCTTTGAATCAAAATAGCACCCAGACATAATGTGTCTACATAACAAAAACATAAGATAAGTAAATGTTCTTTGTACCTACACGGGGTAAAAAAATATTATGGTTCCACACTTGTGCAGGTATAAAGTGCCAGGAAGACATTCATTTCTAAAGGTCACTCAACACCCCTCACCGGTGAATAGGTGAACTTAGGTATATTTAGGCCGCCAATCTATTCAGAAATCATAGGCACAATAAACTACTTAGTCAATCACTGGCATTAGTAGGCACAGACAAACAATGGGTTTCACTGCACAAACAATATAAACCGAATCAATCCTTAAGTAATGAACAATTTTATTTTGTTTAAGATTGAATCTTTATTGTTCAATTCAGCAGTATTCTAAAATGAATTACTCATGGCATTCAACTATCAATTTAATCAAGAAACAATATACACTCAGAAAACAGAAAAACGATTATGTGTAAAAATTAAGCATAAATTTAAAACCTTAAGCCATTCTTGATGGACATAAAACATGTAAATGCAAAATTTTCCAACTATTAAAAATATGGCATTCACATTCATTAGAACATCAAGATTGAGTCTTCTATCAAAATACCCAATAAGAAACCACCAATAATAAAGAACACACACAGATACCTGCTTCTGAAGGCTTTCAGAGTCAACTGATAAAGTATACAGAAAGTAGAACAAAAACGCGCAATATCGGAGCCATTGTTTTGGTAAAATTATTTTCTTCTTAACTGTGATGAATTGCTGGAAGAAAGTGTGCAAGTGTTGTGTTAGTGCGTCATCGTTCTACCGAGATTCTTATGGTATTTCTTTAATATAAATGGATACGTAAAAAGCCCTTGCTCTTTAAATTTATGAAAAAATAAGACTTCCACTGTTAATCGAGATGCAAAGAGAGGAAGGGAAAGAGAAAGGAAACTCACCAAATGTCAGCAAGAAGAGAGATTCACCAGTGAAGAGATGCGGATGGGGAGAAAGATGGGCGGCAATGACAAAGATCAGTTGCATTGCAATCTGCAGAAGCCGACGACACTATTATAATATATTTAGATAAAATTTATTTTGCTTTATATCATTATCAATAAGAATGCTATATTTAAATGTTATCAAATGTATATAATATTGTAGTGAACACCTTAAACAGTGCTATGACTTGTACTTCCTGAAACCTGAATCCTTTCTTTCGGCCTCAGACATTTTATTAACTTTAATACCATCTAGATTATCAGCCGAATCATGTGTTCAATGAGTAGGAGAGCCATGAGGCCAAGCCATATCAAAACTGATAACCCAACCAAAAGAATAATTGTTCGTTTTCCTCTCTCTTTCTCTGGTGTTAATACTGCTATTGAGATGAGATAAGTCAATGCAACTGCTGTAATTGCAATCCAAGTGATCACTGTCAAAATCCACATAAATATTCTCCTCCTTAAAGGTAAACCACTCATCAACAATAATATGATACTGAGTGATGCAATGAGTGCTGTTGTATTAGCAATCAAGAACAGTCCATATTGTGCCGGATGATTCTGAGTGAAAATGGATTCTCCGGCCTTGTGAGTATCAGATTCTGATACGGGATTACTGTGTGAGTCAACCATATAATGATCCTGGCATACTCCGCTTGGAGGGTTGACTCCAACTTGAAATGCCATAGTTGCAATCAAAGAAGCCACTACCATTAATGCACTTCGTTTTTTCTCCAACCAATCATCTTTCTGTTTAAACATCTTTTTTCTACTGTTCTTTTTCATGTTTGAGGACAGATCTAGGCGTTCAAAGGGAAAATTCAAGCCTGGACTAGTTATATTATGATTAATTTGGACTAATGAATTGTTTTCCGTTGATCCAAATGCTCCAGCACATTTCAGAGATTCTTCAATTTCTTCATCCCTCACATCTGTTCGACTACGGATCAGAACATCCATTGCTGTCATCTCACGAAGATTATGAGTATTAACTTCCGTTGTAGACTCCGTAAGCAAAAAGTTAACTGTCTGCACATATTTCAAAATATTTAGTATGTGTTTGGTATACAATATTTTAACATTGTACGAAAGAATATTATAGCTTCTCTTTTGTTTTCGATTCTAAATCCTCCCTACCAAATGGTTAATTCCATTTATAAACATCGGACACGAAAAGTTCGGTTATTTGTCAAAAATTTTCATGAAATTATTTCTAGTATGGGATGACCAATTATCTTAGCCTTCCAAGCTAACAACTTGGGTTCCATTCCTGCTATCTCACGATGAATTAATCTGATTAATCGACTAAAGTTCTTGTAATTCCGAAATATGGGCATGTGACTTGTTATATTCAATCGATCTGAGGCAAAAGTTAAGGTACTAGATCCATTGTACTCTACACTAATTCAAGAAAATTGTGAATATCGTAATGATCTAGCCAAGTTTTGATCAACAATTTGACCAAGTCCATAACAATGGGTTTGAGTTATCATCTATATTTTTTTTAAAATTCAAACAAGTTAACGCGCTAAACTCGTTTTGAATTTAGGGTTGAAGATACATTTTTTATTATTATTTTACCTTAAGTTTTAAGGTATTTAATTGTTTTTCATAATTTAAGATTCTTGTAGTAATTGTTGCATTAAGATTTTGATTGTAGAAATAAGGCATCAAACGTCAATCATGTCATTGGTTGTCACTTGTTATACTTTGACATTATTATTTTTAATTTAGATTCTAAACTCTTGGAATCGGCATTAAAATATTCCAAGTTGATCCTCAGTTTTCTAATACTCCAAGTTGATCCTCCAAACATTAAAATATTATTCACATTTTCGTACACTTTCTTTGCATTGTATATTAATGTTAATCATTCTTTATTTATAATATGTTATGAACTGAGCTCAACCATTCCACGTTTGTGCATTACAAATTTTATA